AACTTTAAGACGACCTTCAATTGAGCAAACAAAAATTGTTGCATTAAATCCATTTCCGTTTTGATTCATGTTTCGCTTAGTTCTCCGCTTTTGTTTAAGCTTTTTGTTACTTATTTTATTTTCATTTGATTCCATAAGTATTACGCTTTAATTAAGTTTGGAAGTTGTTTTGAAAATACCGAACCTTTTAATTGAATTGAGGGAAGTGCATCGGTTGTTATGACATCATAATGAGTCGTCAGGAAGTTCGCACGTACGATCAGGCTGTTTACTCATATCATAGGCACATCGCAGTTTAGACTGGGAGAATTATGACTGGCGGCTCTATAAGTTATGCAATTAAATCACTAACCCCTTTGGTAATCGGTGTCGCGGTTTTCCTATCGCCGCCAATACAAGTATTAGAGATAAGGCTTTGCGAAGATATTACGATTACGATAATCTAAAATGGTTTTCGTCAATAAGAACATGGAAAAACTGAACTTGCTTTACTTTAGAACAAAGAATGAATTCCCGAAAATTCTATTATATTAACGTTTTTAAAAGTACCTGTGTTTTACAATCTTTTAATGTTCAATTCCCGTGGGCTCGTCATCAGTGCCCTAGATAAGTCTACTACAAACTGATTAATCTTGCCATGATTGGGCTATATTGCCAATACTTGCTTATCGCTAAGAAGTAGCATCGCCTCTATCAGTAGTGGCCAATAGACGATTATAAATCACCTCGGTTAATTCCACCCTGGGCAATCCAGGAAAGATAGTCCATGAATTATGATACCCCGCGGCCATCGAAATCCGTATAAAAGTGCCCCCATTCTTGGTGAACAACTCAGTTGTGATCAAAATGAAATTCGCTTGCGCTTCGGTTGTGCTTTTGGCCGCCATCCTTGGGGCCCAGGCTGTCGACTGGCAGTCGGTGAAGAACCTGAACATCGAGACCCCGATGCCCAAGGTCCATGGCGAGACTCTGCCCGGCGGAAGGATTACCGGAGGACAGTTGGCCGAGCCCAACCAGTTCCCCCACCAGGTGGGACTACTCCTGTACGTCACCGGAGGAGCTGCCTGGTGCGGAGGCAGCATCATCAGCGAACGCTGGGTCATCACTGCCGCCCATTGCACGGACAGCTTGACCACCGGTGTGGATGTCTACCTGGGCGCCCACGATCGCACCAACGCCAAGGAGGAGGGCCAGCAGATCATCTTCGTGGAGAAGAAGAATGTGATCGTGCACGAGGACTGGATCGCCGAGACCATCACCAACGATATTTCGCTGATTAAGTTGCCCGTTCCCATCGAGTTCAACAGTGGGTATTTCTGATTTCTCATAAGAAAAGGTTCTAAAGTTCTTTTCGAATATCACAGAGTACATCCAGCCCGCCAAACTGCCCGTGAAGTCCGACAGCTACGCCACCTACGGCGGTGAGTCGGCCATTGCCTCCGGATGGGGCAAGACCAGCGACTGTAAGTGACCTTTATACCTTGTAGAAGTTTACAGTTTTAAGTGTAAAATAGAGAAAGTTAAGCTGTCGTAATATAACTTGTAGGTTAAGACCTTAAGAAAAGTCAGTGTCACTTAGGCACGTCTTATCATAGAGAAATAGATACTACTTTACACTTACCATCATTATTATTTAAATATTTTAATAATACTTATTTGTAATACTTATTTTTTGTTAACTGAAATTATTCTTAGAAATGCCACTTCATTAATATTTTAGATTGACGAAGGGAAAAACCCTAGTCGGTAAAATATTTAACCCTTGGTCAAGTATTTTTAATCTTTCAAATCTATACGGTAAAACCACTTCAAATTTGATTTCAAATTAGATTTTAGGAAATCTAATCTTATTTGTTAATTTTGCCTTAGCATTCCTGACTTATTATAAAAATTTAATTTGACTCAATAAGCTAATTTTGGTAGTTTTCCTATATTATTTTTAAAAGACATCCCTTTATTTCCCAAGGAGTAAAATAACAATGGATTTTCCTTCCCTTATTTTCCCCACAGCTGCTACCGGAGCCACCGATGTCCTGCAATACGCCGTGGTTCCCATCATGAACAACAGCGGCTGCTCCCCCTGGTACTTCGGTCTGGTTGCCAGCACCAACATCTGCATCAAGACCACCGGTGGCATCTCCACCTGCAACGGCGACTCCGGCGGTCCTCTGATCCACAACGACGGCAGCAACACCCTGATCGGACTCACCTCCTTCGGAATCGCCCTCGGTTGCGAGAGGGGATGGCCCGGTGTGTTCACCCGCGTCACCTCCTACCTGGACTGGATCGAGGCCAAGACCGGTGTGGTCAACTACGGCAGCAACTAAGCGTTCATTTTTTACTTAAAATAAAAGTTTATTTTTGGATTACAAGAAATATAACTCGTGTTCGGACTGCGGGCGTGACCGTGTCCGCGGTTTCAGCCCGATAGCTTTAAAACCGGGTGACGAGTTTGCGTAGAAACGGACGGACAGACGAACATGGCTAGATCGACTCGTCTAGTGATGCTGATCAAGAATATATATACTTTATGGGGTCGGAAAAGTCTCCTTCGCTGCGTTGCAAACTTCTGACTGAAACCATAATACCCTCTGCAAGGGTATAAAGAATAAATTTGTCAATTTAAGGCCTAGCCTTACTAAGTCCTATAACTTGATTAAGCCTGTTTACCTGTTTACCCTAACCACTTCCAAAAGGACTTGGCCACTTTTATATATTTTTAACTACAATTGTAACATATTGATTGATTATTTGAAGACGTAAAAGCTTTAACTAAAATCTGCTAACTTTCTAAACATATTTTAACTTTCATGAGTGTCTTTTATGGACTGTATATAATTGTTCCTTTATTTTGTAATATTTTCAGACTGCTTTCTCCTTTTTAAATTCTTTTCTGTCCGGCTTTTCTTTTTTCTTGGGTGGATTCCTACCCCCTTGCGGTGCTAGACTGCTTTTCCCGTTCTTGCACTGCTTCCTTAATCGCTGAAACTGCTTTCCTTTTGCTCGCTGGACTTCCTTAACTTCCTTGCTTCCTCTTTTAACCCACTTCCGCCACCTCGCCTCCTGCCACCCGTTAACACATTGGTCACTTTTGACCAAATTGAACTTGGTTTACTTTAGAACAAAGAATGAATTCCTGAAAATTCTATTATATTAACTTTTTAGAAGTACCTGTATTTTACAAACTGTTAATAAATAATTCCCATGGACTCGTCATCAGTTCCCTAGATAAGTCTACTACGAACTGATTAATCTTACCATAATTGCGCTTTATTGCCAATACTTGCTTATCGCTAAGAAGTAGCATAGTAGAAGTAGCATAGACGATTATAAATCACATCGGTTAACTCCAGCCTGGGCCATCCGGCAAAGATAGTCTATGAATTATGAAACCCCGCGCCCATCGAAATCCGTATAAAAGAGCCCCCATTCTTGGTAAACACCTCAGTTGTGATCAAAATGAAATTCGCTTGCGCTACGGTTGTTCTTTTGGCCGCCATCCTTGGGGCCCAGGCTGTCGACTGGCAGTCGGTGAAGAACCTGAACATCGAGACCCCGATGCCCAAGGTCCATGGCGAGACTCTGCCCGGCGGAAGGATTACCGGAGGACAGTTGGCCGAGCCCAACCAGTTCCCCCACCAGGTGGGACTACTCCTGTACGTCACCGGAGGAGCTGCCTGGTGCGGAGGCAGCATCATCAGCGAACGCTGGATCATCACGGCCGCCCATTGCACGGACAGCTTGACCACTGGTGTGGATGTCTACCTGGGCGCCCACGATCGCACCAACGCCACGGAGGAGGGCCAGCAGATCATCTTCGTGGAGAAGAAGAACGTGATCGTGCACGAGGACTGGATCGCCGAGACCATCACCAACGATATTTCGCTGATTAAGTTGCCCGCTCCCATCGAGTTTAACAGTGGGTACTTCTGATTTCTCATAAGAAAAGGTTCTAAAGTACTTTCCGTATATCACAGAGTACATCCAGCCCGCCAATCTGCCCGTGAAGTCCAACAGCTACGCCACCTACGGCGGTGAGTCGGCCATTGCCTCCGGATGGGGCAAGACCAGCGACTGTAAGTGACCTTTATATCTTTACAAAAACTAGAGTTTTAAGTGTAAAATAGAGAAAGTTAGGCTGTCATAATACAACGGGCAAGTTTAAGACCTTAAGAAAAGTCAGTGCCACTTCAGCACGGGTTATAATAGAGAAATAGATACTACTCCACACCCAACGCAGAACCTTACCATTATTATTACTTAAATACTTTATATTAACTGAAATTATTCTTATTATTCAGTAATATTTTAGATTGACGAGGGAATAACGCTATTTGGTACAATATATAATCCTTAGTCAAGTATTTTTTTAATCTCTTAAATCTATACGGAAAACACGCTTTAAATTTGATTTCAAATTCGATTTTAGGAAATCTAATCTTATTTGTTATTATTACTCTAGCATTCCCGACTTATTCTAAAAATTGAATTTGACTCAATGAGCTAGTTTAGGTACTTTCCTATGTTATTTTTAACAGACAACCTTTTTTATCTCATGTAGTAAAATAAATATGGACTAAAGCTAGCCATAGATATTACCTTTAAACTTTTTGGAACTATTCTGATATCCCTTCCCTTATTTTCCCCACAGTTGCTTCCGGAGCCACCGATATTCTGCAGTACGCCGAGGTCCCCATCATGGAGAACAGCGCCTGCTCCCCCTGGTTCTCCGGCGTGGTTGCCAGCACCAACATCTGCATCAAGACCACCGGTGGCATCTCCACCTGCAACGGCGATTCCGGCGGTCCTCTGATCCTCAACGACGGCAGCAACACCCTGATCGGAGCCACCTCCTTCGGAATCGCCTTCGGCTGCGAGGTGGGATGGCCCGCTGTGTTCACCCGCATCACCTCCTACCTGGACTGGATCGAGGCCAAGTCCGGTGTGGTCAACTACGGCAGCAACTAAGCTTTGATTTTGTACTTAAAATAAACGTTTATTTTTGGACTACAAGAAATAGAACTCGTGTTCGGAGTGCGGGCGTGACCGTGTTCGCGGTCTGACATCCTCGGAGATGTCCTCTTCGGAGGAGGGTCTGGGATGGACGTCTAGTTCATCGGGTACATCGTCTTGCGGCTGCTCCTCTGTCTCCAGCCGGCGACTTTGTCGCGGCTTTCCATAGTCCCTTACGTACTGATCGAAGAATATCGCCTCCGTGGTATCCTGATGGGAACTGACTCCAGTCTCATCACTGATCCAATCCAAATATGAGGCCACTTTGGTGAAGGCCGCCGGGTAGCCACGATCGCAGCCGTAGATGCTGCCAAAGGAGGTGATTCCCACGAGGACCCTCTTCTTCGAGTGTCGCCTTTGGAGAACCAAGGGTCCTCCCGAATCCCCATTGCAGGTGGAGCGGGCATTTCTGCCACTGGTGCATATATTTGTACCGCGATAGGATAGCGGGAAGTTGGACTTGCACGTTCGTCCATCGATTATCTGCAATTGGACGTAGCGCAGCACATTGCTGATGGCATGAACTCCGGTGGCATATCGGCCCCATCCGGAGGCGATGGCTAGTTTGTTCTTGAAACTGCGGTACTCGTAGTGCCTCTTTGGCAGTTGGATGGGATGGATGCGATCTGAAAGGACAGGTGCCAAAATGAATCAAACTTTTCATATACTTCGATTTATCATTGGAGTTTACAAACAATATTTTAAACATATGTGTATAAAATAACGATAAGAAGCGATAATGATAAAGGCTTTGGAATTATGGAATTACAACTCACCATTAAAGCTGACGGCATGAGGCAACCTGACCAGGGCAATGTCATCCTTTAACCTCTTTGGATTCCAGGTGGGATAGATTTGGAAGTTCTCGCTGGGCACCATCAGTCGCACCTGTCCCTTCTCCTTGGCGTTCTTGATTTCATTGGCTCCGAGGAAGACCAGAGCCCTTTTAGCCCTGCAAGATATACAAACATTAGCAAATTGGTTCCCCATTCAATCTCTTACCATTCCTACATATCCACGCAGTGGGCGGCGGTGATGACATGCTTATCGGAGATCAGGGAGCCGCCACACCAGTACAGGCCCTTGGGTCTTTGGAGCAGCATTCCCACCTGGTAGGGAAAACAGTGGGGATTGCCAACGTCGCCGCCAAAGATGCGGTCCATGGCCATGGCTCCATCGGGCAGCATCTTCTCCAGCAGCGGTGTGGTCTCCAGATTGAGGACGAGTGGTTCCCGATCCTCTAGATCCTCCTCGCTAAAACCGCCCACATCCAGGTCAAGACCCATTCCCTTTATGCGACGACTGTCCACGTTGCTGGCGCTCATTTCCGCATCGAGTTCCAAGGAGGAGGAAGAGGAGGAGGAGAAGGGGGAGGACGAGGAGGTGGACAGACCCATGGGGCCCGGGTACATGGACACCAGGTACATCGGCTTAACCTGCTGCCAATCCAGCGCGGTGCAGTGCATCGTCAGACATGTGAGCCAAATGAGCAGCAGCAGCGTGGAACTTGCACTTGAAGATTGTTTGGACATTGGCTTTGTTGCTCTGTTCGCGCACGCATTTAATTTTTAATTGCGAGTGCAATTGCTGGCACTTATGGTGATTAGACTGCTTTCACTGCTAACTGTGTTTCCTTTGCATGGTTTCCTGTTTAGCTGAATGCGGGGATTCTAAAACTGCTTACTTCCGGGGCCCAAGCTGCTTCCGCGGATTCTAAAACTGCTTAGTATGGTGTACTCACAAGATACTGAGCCCTGTTTTTGATTTCTAACTGGTACTTTCGTATCTTCTTTAAAAAAATATTTAAAAATAAATGTGTCAATCTAAAGGTTAACTTTACTAAGTCCTATGACTTGTTTAAGCTGTTTAAGGGTTGTTGATTTTCCTGTTTACTTTAACCACTTGCTAAACAACTTGTCCAGTTTATGTTTTCTTAGCACTTTTTTTTTATATATTTATCAACAATTTAAAGAATCCTTGTAATTTTTTGACTGATGGCTCACTTTCTAAACATATTTTAACTTTCATAGGTGATTTTGGGGACTTTATATAATAGTTCCTTTATTTTGTAATGTTCTCAGACTGGTTTCTCCTTTTTTAAATTCGTTTTTGTCCGGCTTATCAGTTTTCTTGGGTGGATTTCCACCCCTTTGCGGAGCTAGACTGCTTTTTCCGTTCTGGCACTGCTTCCTTGATCTCCGAAACTGCTTTCCTTTTGCTCGCTGGACTTCCTTGACTTCCTTGCTTCCTCTTTTAACCCACTTCCGCCACCTCGCCTCCTGCCACCCGTTCACCCACTGGTCACTTTTGTTTTCCCGTTTCGAAAAGCCGTTACGCTGGTTGCTGGACACTTCACCGCTTAAAACATCAGCTGTAATCGCAATGCGCGTCGTAATCTCCGCCAGTCGCCAGTAGCCAGTACTGCTTTCTTCGCGTCTTGTTAGCCACTGCGCCGGCGCGCAGGTTGCCAAGCATTTTTATAAACTCTTTTGCCAGCGCAGAAATTGCGCGCCGCCTTAATTATTTCATCTATTTGGCTGCATTTCAGTTGGCCGGGCACAAATGCAGTTGCATCAATTTGGCTTAATTTGCCTCTGATTAGTGCTGCTCTCGATCGGCGATCTCTCTTTCATTCGATGTGAGTCTTCTCCTCCGATTGAGGAACTGTCGCTTTTCAGTCGGAATCCGCCCTTTGCCTCGATCGCTGCTTGGTCCGCATTTTACTTTGAAAATGGAGATATGTGCCGCATAGGCCACATTTCATCGTAGATCTCGGTCGGTGCCTTGTGGTTTTGCCATTTAAATTGAATGCGAAGCTGTAACTCTAGTTATCCGCCCGCTTTGGCGCTATTACATCACTCCCCACTTCACTCACTTCTCGCTTTAGCTCCATCTTCATTATGCATTGGCGATCGTGTTTTTTTCGGCTTTGGTGGCTGAGTGGAGAGAAGAGTCTTTCATTGAGAAAAATCTCCCGCTGGCTGGGTTGCTGTAAGTGAAAAACAATAACACGAGTTGTTACACTTATATTTGCATGCCACCTCTGCTCTATCTTCACCCTCAGTTGCGATATCATTTGATTACATTACAGTCAAACTTCTCTTAACAATACCACTTGTTTGCTTAATCAAACACTATCAATTTATAAAAAATTAATATTTTATAAGGTCAACTCTGTTTATTTACATTATTATTCATTCTATCTAACTACAACTTGTATTCCAGTTTAATTCCATTTTATTGGAAACTGATCTTAACTGTAGGTACTACCTGATTGTTAATATTTTAATACATTATATTTAATATTAAGAATTAAAAATGTTAATATTTTCTTATTCAGCTAAAGTTAATAATCGTACTTAAATGCTTTTTTTCTGGTTTATATGATTATAATGATATTCTTAAAATATATTCCGTTAAGACTTGAAATACCCCCATCTGTTTTCCAAAAAAAGGAACAACAAATTCCATTTTCCATATCTTTTTAAATTATTCAAGGGTAAACTTTACCTGTGAATATCAAGTTGATCCTGACACATATTTTTCCTGTGTGTGTTAATATATGGTAGTTGGTATTAGTATTTTTTACTAAACAATAATATTTATATCAACCAGTTTTAAAATTGAAAAATATTTTTGACATTCATTTTAGATATATACAAAATTAAGAAAATACATTTTATAACTGGTGTGTTAGTAACACCTGAGATGTGCCAGACCCTATCACTTCATCTTCAATATTTTTGAATCTGTTTTTTTGAAAAGTTTTCAAGTTCGTGAGGCTTGACTGTGGTGTTCGTCTTCTTCAACCACAGTTGCTCCAGGTGGATGGATAGTCAGACTTTGGAGACTCAAATTCAACCGTCTACTGTGTACTGCAGACCTCAAGGTTATTGCCAGGGCAGATTGGGGTGGCTCGAGGGAAGGGTTTTGGGGGCGGACACCTGCCCGTGGCTCATAAACAAATTAACAGCTTGCCATTCGGTTGCATGCAGCAGCGACTGGCATGCGCAGAATTCTTAGCAGGAAATGAAATGCAGCATAAAATATGTATGTGTTGTTAATTTAATTAATTCGTGCACCGCCTGCCGCCGACTGGGATAATCAGCTTTATTTGGTGTTGAAAGTATTTCTGTTACCTGGCCATTGTTGTCGATTTAGGAAATTACTGCGGTCTGTGTGCCTAGCGAAGCAAATAAATCAAATCGTCTCGCGCTCACCAATGTGATATGTATGATCAAATCGAATGGAATCAAATCGGATCGGATTGGATTGTCTTGGATCGAATCGAAATGAAGCCGAATGTAATGAGGCTGCAACAACAGTGAGGCACAACAACATGATTATGCAAATGCACCACCTAGCCGCCGCACCACCACCCACCTCGACCCCCTCCCCCACCGCCAGTTCGATATCGTGCGGTGGTGCGTCTATATATCTGTGTCTATAACTTTAACTATATATACTCGCTGCATAATCGCTCCCCGTTGCATGTTGCACTCATTAATAATGGGCGCGTTTTTGTTACTGCATTTTATTGCACTTGCTAATCACGCGGCGGCCGTTAAATAATTGGGCTTGAAAGCCACCCGGCTCGCACAATCCGTCCAGACTTTTGGCCACCTCGGTGCGTTGCGCTTCCGTTTCGCATTCGATTTGGTTTATTTTTTATTTATTAGTGTTCCTTGTTAGCGCGCTACTCTCCGCCCCCAATTGCACTTTATGGCATATTACATCATGGCATTGGCATGAAGGTGGAGTTCAAGGAACAGAGGACTGGACTCGTTATAAATATACTCAAAAACACGATGACATCTTTGGCATTTCAAGGATTAACTGCTGGATATTCAGTTTTCTATATACATTTATGAAGTACATAATTTGACAATATCCATGTTCCAATTCTAATGATTTGTAAATAAAGAAACCTTTTGAAGAAATTATTTTTCGATATATTTATATTTTTAAAATAATAATGATACCTATGATAAGTTTAAGAAACAGTTTAAATATACTTCTTAAAAATCGAGTTCGAAAATTAGGCCGAGACATTCTTCATACAAATTAGAATTGTAAATCAAAACCTTCAAATCGTGAGAATCCCTACTTCGTCAACTTAATCGGATTCTCGAACGGCAGTGGATGGATATGTATTTTCAACCTTTATTTATACGCTTAATGGCTAGGCACAGAATCGTATTCTATGGCTGGATAAGTTTAGTTTTAGGTTTAGCTCTAATTTATTTTCTTCTACATGCTATTTACACACATATAACTTTGATGGGGGCTTAGGACTACGGCGTGAAGTAAGCCAAACGAACGTAAATCCTAGCTTCATAGTTGCTATCAGTACAATTGTTTTTGTTTAGTAATAATGCAATGAATAATTATGTGGTGCGCGTTGAATCATTCAGTCTGTCTACTCAAAGCCCGCCGGTTGCATGAGGAACTGGTGTGGGCTGCTCATGGCCGGCAGCTGTATATCCTCCATGGTCATCGATGTCTTGGGGATCTCGACGGTTTCCCCCGACCCTCCCGCCTCACCATCATCGCCCTCGAGCATGGCACTATCGAAACTTTTGTTCAGACGGTCGTGAAACTCGGTCATTGAGATTTTCTTGAGCGCAAAGCGCTTGCCAAATGTCTTCTTCACCTTCTGGCGGCGTCTCTTCGACAGGATCTTGTTCTTGTTCAGGCCATCGCTGAAGGATATGGCCCGGCGCAGTTTGCGGCCCCAGACTTTGACGACCTTCACCTGGCTGCTAATGGAGCACTCCTCGCTGTCGTCCTCTGCATCGGCAGCATTCTCGTCGCTGGGCTCCTCGAAGATTGTCTCCAGATTGGTGGGCGTGAACTTCTTCATCCGCTTGCTGGTGTATATCTTCTCGATGCTTTTGAGCGTCTGGGCATTGGTATTCAGCTCCTTCCGCTGCTTCTTCTTAATGGGCTTCATAATGGCACTGCACACCCGGTTGAAGTTGTCCTTGGACACCCTGGCCGGCATCCGGCGACGAGCCACGCCCGCCCGAGCTCCGAAATGGGAACTGTGCCTGGAGGATCCACTGATGCAATCGCTGTCGTCGTCATTATCCTCACAGCGACTCAGTTGGGAGTCCACATCGTCTGAGTCCTGGGACGCACTGCTGACATCGCCGTCGGATTCGGGTGTCGCTATTGGCTCGGATGTGTCCTGCATCTCCTCCATGTCCGACATGGCCATCTCCTTCAGTCGAAAAGAGAGATTCGAGCCAGTGGATGACCTGAAAATCGGGTTATAGGCTGGGTTCCGAAAAGTAGTACTGCTTGCACTTACATATTTCCCGAGAATACCACCTTGGGTTGAAAAGTGATCTTGGCAAAATCGTAAACAATGTTATCCATTATTATTTCCCTTCGAATCTAGAAATCATACCTGAAATTATAACAAAAGACACCTTAATACATACATACAGATCTTAGAGAGTGGTGTTTTTTTGCATATGTAACAAAAGTTGGAGATCCCTGGGAGTTATGATAGTCTATAGTTTAGTTACCTTTCCAATATCGCTCATTTCCTTGTTTTGGAGCCCTTTCTTTGGAGGCGTCTGTCTGAAAAGGCAAATCCCTTTCGCTCCAGGGGGTAATTTCTTGGCGAACAGCTAATCCTGGATAAATCTAGCGCAGTCAAGAGTTGCCTTATACCCTTTGGAATAAAGAACGTGCTGTGCCTTTTCGGTGTCCTTTAATGCATACAAATTAATTGCAAAT